CGTCTGTCTATTCTTCTGAATGTTGGTTGTATTGTGTCTAGAAATAGTGTTTCTGATGTCTAGATGGTGGAAAATCTTGATCTTCTCTTGTCATTGAACATGATTTAGACATAATATTTAAACATTGTTGTTAATTAGATCAGATAAACAACCAGGTAAATCCAAGTTCTTTGAAGTTCAGGAAGAATGCACATGGGAAGCCTGAGGTGAGTTTTATTTGGAATGATCAGAGGATTTTCCCATCATTTGGGTTTTGGGTCCTTGAATATATTAATTTACTCAAGTCCTCAAATTTTTTATAGGTAGAGTGGCAAGATGATGACAACTTGTGTCCAGTACCATTGCATTTCAATCTCTCACACACATCTTCTATGATTGCTTGTGGGGTGACCATGAATGTGGCCGTAAGATCTGTTCTTTGTTGAAGCTAGATAGATGTCCTTACAGAATGACCATGTTAACCTATCTCCATTACATTCTTTGTTGCTAGATATACTCTAAATTTGTGCGATTCATTCTTAATTGTAGATTGGTATTGATATAGAAGAGAAGCAACGACAGTTAAAGAATAATGTCTTGGCCTTTTCACGACGTTATTTTTCTCCATATGAGGTGAAAATTTTGACTGCTATATCTGACCCTGAAATTCAGCATCAGGAGTTTATTAAACTGTGGACCCTCAAGGTAAGTAAGATATTATTTATTACTAAAAGAATGGTTGATACATCATCATTGAAATAGAAAATAAAATACGAAAACTAGTTTTTTTCAGTCTTTTTACATCTTGGATCTAATCTCCAGGAGGCATATGTGAAGGCATTAGGAAGGGGTTTCTCAGGCTTGCCTTTCAAGACATTTACCATTCGGTCCAAGCCTGCAACTACTGGGAGTTTTAATCTTTCTGAAGATTTTGTTTCCAAGGTTAGCACCTTCAACTATATGTTGGAGTCTTCCTTCCTATTATAGAATATAAGTTGATCAAGATTGTCTAAATCTACTTTGCCGCGTCAGCAATCTAGTGGGGATAAAAAAATGGTATGGATACAATTCGCTTGCCATGCAAAGAATTTTAAGATCTGGGTGATTTAGTCATCTCACCATAATGCTGAATACTGTCGATCTAAAGTTACATCCAAACAGAGAATGGACGCTTGAAAAGTTCTTGTATTTTGGGCTTTAGGAAAGGTAAAGAGGAGAGGGATGGGATAGATCTTTGATAGTGCCGGTGAATAAAAGAATATAAGTTGAAGAAAACTGAGGAAGAAGAAATACAAAATCAGTGGTTGGTTATAGTCAATTATTCTGTTTGTCTTTGCATCTTAATGTCATTTCTTCAAATTTGATGCTGGTGCTTAATATGTCGATTACAACCTGATATATATCCCTATATCTATAATTGTTGTCAATTAACACTGAATCTAGTCCTGTCAGGCATCTGAAATAATTGTTGAATCTTCTGATGACCCCGAGAACCTCACAAATGAGTGGCAGTTTGCACTCCTGGAACTGGCTGGTTCTCATTATGCTGCCATATGCATGGAGAAGGACAAAACTGTTGGAGGTAGTATTTTAATTCCGTTGGAATTTACATCACCATAAAATACATAAGATTAACATTTAAATTTTGTTTTTAGGTGAAGCAAATACTCCAATGAAATTGACTGTGTGGAAAACCATTCCATTTATTGAAGATGAGTGTGTGTCCGGAACTGATGCAGTTGTTGCCATTGGTGGCCTAATCAAGCAATAAGAATGATGCAATGCTACTTGTGCCTTGTTAATTATAAGGACTATTGAGTTGAATACATGATATAGAAAAATTAATTTTCTCTGACCTTTCTCTATCCATTCTTAGGCAACCAAATCTCAGTTTTGGTCATTTTTCTAGGACAGGAACCTTGTGAATTGTAAATGTCAATTTCAGACATTTTATGGTGGTGGTTATAACTTATAATCGATTTCGGTCATTCATCTGCACAGTGCAGAAGATCTTTCTTTGGCCTGAACATGATTCATTACTCAAAAAATACTGTTTAAGTACAGAGCGTCCACAAAAATAGAAACAAAATAAATCAAAACAAATCAAAATAGGCGGTGCCAGTAATCCATCGCCAAAGAGGATGACGGTCAAGGCACCCAATTTGTGATGCTCGT